TACAGTTACCAATATTGCAGTTGAATCAAAGGCATAAGAGCTCCAAATGATCTGAGAACAGCTCATTACAACTATGGAATCGAATGCTGCACAAAATTTAAACTGTTAGCTACCTTTGTCTCCGCTTATGAAGGAAAATACTTTTTTACCTAACAGTGCACATGTACCTAAATGTTATCTTATCTAAACAACACCGTAGGTGCTCTTCTTTCGTTATTATTGTTGTTTTACACAGTTCTATTGACTACACAAACTTAGCCTGCTAAACAGGCGGATCGCGAAGCATGATGCAGGAGCGCGGAGCGCGACCACGAGCGCGGAGCGGTAGTCGAAAAAAAAAAATCCAACAAGTGGTTGCGCTCCGCGCTCGTGTATCGCGTTTCGCTCTCTGCCCGGCTAATCCGCCTGTTCTGCAGGCTAACACAAACTTAGCCGGGTTGAACTAGATACATGCTCGTACGTACCAGTTCCTGTTATAGGATAATCGTCAGGTTTTTCCTCGCTCTTGCTTTGACTCGCAGAATCCGAGAGTTCATCTAATACAACCACTTCACCTTTATCTGACAAAATCAAACAGAAACATCACTACCTTTATCACGCCCTTAGCTGAGCCTATCTGACTTGACCATTTGCATCTGTGGTCTCAAAGTGTAAACTTACTACCTGACTGAAAAACAGGCATGAAATCTTCGGGTTTTTTTTTTTTTTTTTTAATTTTATCGAATGTAAAGATCTATGATACTGGATGGAACACAGTTTCGACCAATTCAAGAGGTTACATTACTTGCAAAAAAGTTTCGGACGATTTTAATTTCGGACAAAAAAGTGTCCGAAAATAAAACCGTCCAAACTTTTTAAGCGTTCGAGATATTTACTGAAGAGTATAAAACTTGGAAGTAGCTTCAAAGCTCTTGTTTTCCATCATGCCGGGCCTCATGGAGCGAATTCTAGTTGAGACACGACTTCACATAAACAGCTTGATAGCATTTGTGATATTTTCCCGTCGGTGTATTAGTGAAAGCTCGACTGGCTGCAGTAAAAATATCATTTACACAGATGCTGTTTCAGCCTAAATCCTGTTTTGTAGGCGTAAAATTATTTTAGCTATGTTTCAGCAGTGTCCGAAATTATTGTCCAAATTTTGTCCGAAATGAGATAAAAAGTGTCCGTAAATTAAACGTCCGAAATTTCTTGCAAGTTATGTATGACAATTTTTTTTTTTGTAATTGACTGTGATACAAAGAGCACTAGTATAATACTGTGTATATTTAAGCCTTATCAAACACACAGTGGCTTAGAAGTTCAGAAGATTGAATATTGCTTGTTACCTTGTCAGAAAGCATTCGCAGCCTGCAGTCACTTATAATGATCGTAAGAACTACTTACGCCCGTTAGCTGCATTATTTGAGGCCAAAGGATTCAATTCCGAACCTGCAAATTAATAATATTAAAGTAAGGGAGTGTGGAGGGAGTGTCAATAAATAACATTTCCAATGTGGTGAAGACTAAAAGTCAGGGCTTCAAC